AGTCGTCACTGCCACTCTGTGAGTTCCCCTTATGTTTCATTTTTTAAGCAACATATTTTTGTATCATCATGTTCCTTGAGTCAAATCCAAGAAAAACATTGACCTCTTGCGCCTTCACTCGTTTTGTGCGGAACATTGTTCGGGCTTTTATGAGGTGGGGAGCGGAACTTCATGAAGCGTCTGGAGTGCTTCAAATGCCCGGTACCCAGCCCGGTTCAGCGTGTGAGGCTTCGACGCTGAACGTCCGAGTCCAGGGAGGGGGCCTTTGGCGGCATACCGAAGCTAGCTACGCACCGGTTGGCTGTTGTCTAAAAGCCCTCTACCTGGATGGTAAAGCATCTCCATATGGGGGGGGGCAGTTCAATCATCAACAGTATACAGGCCTCTTGCAGAGTGCGTTCCCCCTGATTGTGTGCGATGGACACTCATCTGGTTGGCATCTGACGGTGCCTTGTGACTCGGGGCACCTGAACCTGAGCAGCTGATGAACCGGCGGCCGCTGGGTACACGGCTCCTTTTCAATCATGACGTCAGGGCACTGCCCCTAAGTCAGGTCACTCATGTTCGCGCTTGCAACCCATCCACAACACCTAGATATATGCTTTTTGATTCCCCGGACACCTATAATATTCAATAGATTCTTTTGAGATCTTTTGAGTCACTCCCACAATCTCAGGCTCCAAATGGTTCCCACCGATGTTCCCTCGCCAACGAGGCAAGGCGGTGAAGCCGCCGGAGGTCGGGGAGGCCGTGGCGGCGCCGCCAGGCGCGGCGCGGCGTCGGGTCCGGGACGTCGAGCGGCGAGCGGGTAGGCAGCTCGAGCCGAACGGGTCGGCTTGATCTCATGATGTGTTGGGTGGCTGCGTGTGTGGAGGATTTTTGGGATTGTGGGGTCTCACTCTGAGGGAGAAGAGGGAGTTGTAGCAATTCAGAGTGATGGCTGGAATCGCAAGGATGAGTCTGAGGTGGGGGAAGCTTTGGGACACTGGGACCAGAAGAGGATGCTCAACTAGAGCAGGAGTCTATGAGTCAGATGGTCTGATGATGCAGAGCTGGTTGGTGCAAAAGTGAGATGATGATCCATAAAAGCACCTAATTTGGGGTGCTCATTGGCTACTTACTCTTTTACAGGAGGACCTCTTGAAAGGGCGATGGATGTACCATGAAGACGTAGGCGGGACTAGGCTTGGAATGGCTTGGCAGAAAGAGCTGCTCCTAGCAGAAAGAGCTACCTGTGTCACCCTTGTCGTTGAGTAGACGCACTTGTGGACATGATCCAATGCGCTCCTCCACGGTACCTTTCTGACTGTTCTGTTTGTATGCAAGACATGAAGTCTGAAAAGCAGAGGTCTAGGGAGGTTCAGCTGTGGAACGTGGGTGGAATGTGCGGAGCAGACTTGTTGCACGGAACTCCGGCCTCGTGGCCAGTCGTGACGCCTGCGCCGAAGCGGACCTTGTCGCCCCATGCGGGCTCTCGCGCGATGAGAGAGATGTGCGCCCAAAGCGGTGGCAGGACAGGTGAGGAAGCCGTAAGCGAGTGGGTTTGAACGAGCTTATACATGTAGACGAGAGAGAAAGAGCGCCTTGAAGGTTGGTTAGACGGTCTTTTTTGAATGCCCATGGGCACAATGGTTCAGTCGGGTTCAGAATGCTAAGATTTGGGCAACCACCTCAAAAAGAGCACGTGCACGGCGTCTTTGTGAGAGATGTATATATAACAACAACCTCTACCTGATGTACAATCCAGGGCCCCGGTCGGACCGAAACGAGTGCATGAGCTTCAAAAAAGTCTTGCACAGTGGGCTACAATGAGGTAAAGATGAAGGCATTGAAGCGTTTGCGGATGGATCGATTCCCTGCTTGAGACCGTCACGAGATTGTTTGGAGCCACCCCAACCCACTGACAGGTCGGAACGCCCAAAAGAAACGCCGAGGATCGGGATTGCGGGTTTTGATCCAGGGTACCCCGGGTACCAACCTTGAGAGTTATGCTGCGACGCTTTGTTAGGGTTTCTTTTGGGCTTGGTTTAAGGCTTCACGGATATGATTTGAGCTAGCTTTCTTTCCCTGGCTTTCAACCTGGCTCCCAGAAAGGTTGCGGGTTGCGCTTCCTTCCGGTGTGTCAAGGGAGGCCGTGCATGAAACCGTTCCACCCTTGAACCAGTGGGGACCCGTGCTTTTGGCTCTCTGGACCCCAATCTGGGCACCCCTGCACCCCTTCAAGGTCAGAAACAGACAAGGCTTCTACCCGACTCATAGCTTGGAGAACTTTCTAAAGCCCACGTCCCTCCTGCGGTGCCAGACTCTCCGCTTTGGCTTGTACTTCCAAGTTAGGAACCTTCCAACATTTGGATTCTCTCGGTTTCTTGACTGTGCCACTCGAGTTTCCTTACTGTATTCAGTTTCCAGTTTCGAACGCGGTCTCCTGACTCCAGTGGTTTCCTGGCTCGGTTTCCTGCCTCTGGCGTCATCCACTTCTGCACAGTTGACATCAGTTGACAGGTTGCAGGGAGGTTGATGCCTAGGTTGCTCCATCCATGCCATATGTATGCCATGTTTGCAGATCAGTTGGGGTGATCGGGGACGCACGGTTGTTGGTCCTACGAGAACAAGGCCATTAGCTGACTCAGCTGACAGCAGATTTGTGGCCACTCAACTTGCGCTACCCCTAGCTTGTATCCTTCTAGCTATGACCCAAGTGGAAGGGTGACCTTCTGAAACAATATCAGTCCATCAATGAGTCGTGCACTGCTTACTTGGATGTGCCTTTCTTACTAGGAAGTTAGCCAAGCGTCTTAGGGAGCAGGGACACAAAACAAGGTCCGCTCTGGGACCTACGGTCCGGGCATGTCTTCTGCGTGATTGTTGTCATCTGTACGATGCAGCAACTGGGGCCGAAGTAATGTGGCCTGTGTGACCCAAGCGAACTTCCAAGGTCAATTTCCCATCTCTCTCTTAACAGTGGTGAGATTGCGGAAGCGGCTTGAAAGCCTTTGCAGTAGTACAAGTGGAAGGGGCTGAGGCACGCCGGACTGAGGCAAGCCGAGCGCCCGATCTGCATGCAGCTAGGTAGTGGGCAGTTGCATCGGCTTGACCTGCGCTGCGCTATATCCCCTTAGCCTCAGTGGAGCCGTCAGCAGTAGAAGAGAAGGGGCAAGGGTACACTGGTGTTGAAGGAAGACATTTGGACATGACACACGGAGTGCCCCAATTGCTTGCTTACAAGGTGTTGGAAGTTACAGGAGGGACGATTTCTACTTGTCAAAAGCACCCACCAAAACTTAGACCTTACCAGCTGACTGACAGTGGACATGAGCTGAGAGTGGTGTGAGCCAACGAACCCTAGACTTCGCCACTCGCCCTTGCCCCTTGTCTCCATGTTGCCTCATCCAATAGAAAGTGAGCCTGTGGGGGCCTGGAGGTGGTGAAAATGATGGTTGCCTGGCTTTGGGTGCGTCTAAAGCTTGTAAGCTATCAGGCTGAGATTTTCATTGAGCATCATGCAAGCGACTCCTCACAGGTACAAGCAGGGTGCTCTTGGTGGGGTTGCAGCGGCGCCCAAGCCGTCACCTTCCGAGAGAAGCTCCTAGGCACTGTCAGCCAGCGGAATGGTGAGGGTGGTGTTTCATCTACATGGCCCTTGGGCCAACCTCAGGCATGATTGGATCCTAGTAACTTTTGGACTTGGCCATCGGAGGCCACAAAACCCTGGGCGGCCAAAGCATTGGTTTTAATGGTTTTGGTACTGAACTTTGATCGGTTGGAACCTGGCCTGTCAGCTGACACTTTTATGTTTTTGCAGGTGGTCATGGACTCCACAGGAAGCTGCAAGGCTGTTGGCTGTAGCTGTCTGAAAAACGTTCACGGCTACTCTCAGGGACCAGCACTTCTGCAGTTCCTAGTCTAGCAACCCACATGGTTGGGTCGAGTTCGGCGGAAAGCCTGCAATCCGTGACAAATTCACAGCAGTTTTCAGTGAACAAATTGTCCACTTATTGCCAGGCTTGCCACTGTTTGCTGCCAACAAACTGTGGTGTTTTCACCCTCGATTTCTTCGCGCTTGAAGTTCGGATTGCTGCAAGATTCAGTAGTCAGGATCTTGATCACCGAAGGCTGTTTATACAATTCAATCACCACCACGGGGCAACTGCGGGCTTTGGGGCCACTGTCCACCGTGCTCATTGGACGAACCACGGCTTTGCCTCGACCGAGGTCGCAGCCGGAAGAGCCCGGACTCCAGGCGCCGGACACGGGGCCCGAACCTTGTGGCCGTTGGGTTGTCGTTGGTTTCGGAGTCCTTCGGGGTTGCTGGGTGAGGAGCAAGGTCCAAATTCTTTTCGTTTTTTCGGCTCAACAGTAGAACTCCCGGAGCCATCGACTCAGAAAAATCGACTGACTCCAAAGGCGAGGCTGCTGAAGAGATTTGAGTCGATGATGCTGCCTCCGAAGCAAAATGAACAAGCACTTTTGACACTATAGGTGCTTGGACTTTCTGAGGCACTTTGGGTGGAAAACAATTGTATCTTCCTACTAGTACTGAAAAGAGGGTGTGCGCAAACCCGGACGGTCAGGTGATTTTACAGGGACCGTTTACGTCTGAAACGACAGGTCCACCCATTTCCATGGGTGGACGTGTTTTTCATTTGGCTGAGCAGTGTGGCTGAGCGGATGTGTGGGCCCAGGTGGGTCCATGAAAAAACACAAAAAGCCAGGTGGATATGTGGGGAACCAGGGGTTTTCTATAGGTCTGTGCTTGTAGTCTAACCACTGGGACTCCCAGCGACGTCGTGTGGTCCACTGGGTGGGGTAGAACCTCTGGTCGCCAACGGGCCCCCTATCGTCCCCTCAACCAAGTGAGGGGCGTTCTTCGGGGCCATATGGGTGTCATGAGGTATTGACACCAGCATCAGGTATGTCACTTGGTTGGGAATCTGGCGGGTGTTCCGAACACTGATGCGAAAGCGTTCCTTTGTCCAGCTTCCTGAAAGCATTCCTCGAAAAGACCGATCATCCATTGATGCGCTAAATAGCTCTCCACTCCTCCAAGACACAGCCGAAACACTTGCCATCTGCCAGTAGCTCCTCCAGCAGTAGTGGCAACAGGCCAGGGCGAGTGTCGTGAAGCTGTGAGGTCTTTAGTTGATGAGACGGGTTGTCTAGGGGATGGATGTGCAGAAAGAGGGACGTCAAGCCAGGATGCACCCATAGCTTACAATGGCCTACGATCCTTCAAAAGCAGCTGTGGGTTCTTCTCTTCGAACATGTTTGAGACCGCTTGGAATTCTCAGGAAGCCCGTAGCCAGATTCGATTGTGCCCTGCAATGGCCAAGTTTGCCCAATCTGGGTTTTAGATTGTGCACAATTCGATTGTGCACTACCGCAGCTGTGGACAGGGTACAGCTCCGGCCCGTTGTGCATCTGAGCCTCCACATGGAGGTGATCATCTGAACTTGTGAGCCTCTGCGTGGGGCATTAAAGAGAGAGTAACAGGCCCAGGTTCCCTGAAAGAGGTTCTTCAGATGAGCAGGTTTGCCCGAACATCTGCTGTGAAATGACGACTTTTCGACCACGACTTCCTTTCCTTCTGAGAATCTCCAGGCGCAAGAAGAAGAAGAAGCACAAGAAACACAAGGGGAGGAGGCGTGGTGGGGGGGTGACGTCACCGTGTATTACAAATGGTCGAAATAGGCTCTGTGGTTCGTTACTCTGGGAGAGCAGCTCTCGGAGAGCAGAACCACAATCAACTTCAGAGCAGCAGATGGCCCCAAGCTCAATTTCAACAAGGGATCAGGGATCCATGTTTTTTACAATCTTGGACTTCGTTTTTGTTTTTGTGCTTTAAACATACGAATCAAAGGGGCGTCTAATGAGTTTTGATGTTCATATATCTGTAAGGGGCGTCCAATGAGCACCCCTTAAAGCCAAGAATGATGGACCCACAAAAAACTAAGGTTCCCAATGCGAAAACGCCTCCAACCAGTCCACCCTGGGTCTCGATCGATCTTTCACGATCCGCCACGCGCCCTGGTGCCGCGGCCAACCTCGACATCTGGACCCCTTCGTAGTTCAGGACCTAAAGGAAAATCCTGATGTAAGATTTCCAAGTAACAGATCCCCGATGTAAGAGAACCAAGTAACAATCCCGATCTAAGATAACAAAGTGAAAAAAATCCCGATGGGCTGAACCACGAAAATCGAGATCGGGCGACATGGAATGACACGGAATGACACGGTGTGGGCTTACATCGGGTTTTCCTAAGGGGTGTCCATTGGACACCCCTTAGGCTTAAGGGGTGTCCAATGAGCACCCCTTGGTTTCCTCGGGTTTCGGCCACCGACACGGAATGACACGGATTGACACGCAGGCGGCTCACGTTTTTTTTCACGTTGTTTTCTTAGATCGGGATTGTTACTTGGTTCTCTTACATCGGGGATGTGTTACTTGGAAATCTTACATCGGGATTTCCTTTGGGTCTTGCCTCAGGGCACGTCGGCGATTGACCTGAATCGACCCGAATCGTACCGGTGATCGACCCTTGGTTGGTACATTCCCCAAATCCAGTCCATTCACAAGTATCCCTTACAAAAGTTGTGATTCTACACGAGGATCCCTCTAAAGCACTTGTCAAACACTTAGATTTCTAAGGGGCGTCCAATGGTTTTTAGCTTAAGGGGCGTCCAATGGACACCTGTTCGATCTACCTGCTAGAGAACCCGTGCAGCCGTTTTGGAGGTTCCCATTTGCCGTGCAGAGATCAGAGTTGGCTCACCGGTTCAGAAAGAATTGCCTGATGAAGGAAAGAGCAGACCAATGTAGGTGGTTTTGATCTGGTGGAACTGCTCGAGGGGTTCCTCCCACAAAACACACCAAATCCTTACATCAGGACCTTCAAAGTGATCTCTTTGGAGTCTCTTAAGTGACCTTTTAGCCCTTTACAGGCCTATTTGTCACCTCAACCTGGGAGCTCAAACCTTCAGAATTGATGGGTTGGATGGAATTTTGGGCGACCTGGTCACCCGATTGGCAAAACTCTTGATCTTTCTCAAACCCCTGCAGGTCAGTTTGACATTTTACTAGAGTTGGTCATTCAAAAGCACTACTCAAGGAGGTCAAGCCGACCAGGTTTGGTCCTGGGTCAGACTGGATTTGTAGGGAACCATCGAAGGATCCAGTCGGGTCGATGTACCGAACTTTAGATCCCAAGACCCCCAGGCGCAGCAGGAAGGGATGTTCACCCGTTCAACGGGGCTTTTGGGAAGATTCAATCATGTTCAATCCAACTCACGAACAGGGAAGTGGAAACACGACCCTTCTTTTCAAGACCTTCAAGACTGTTTCCTCTTGAACCTTGAAACACAGGGCAGCCCCCACTTCCATGTGACGGTTCACGCGGGATGTGATACACGGTTTTGAGCCTCGTGATGTGGTCTTCCTCGCGCCAGTAGCTCTTCCTCCAGCTCATCCAGCCCGGTCACCCCGGTTGGACGACAGCCGCCCCGAGTGTGAGCGAAAACTCGTAGCTTCTTGTTCCGAGCCATGGCCTCCAACCTACTTGCGATGGCCTCCACCTAATAACGTCATTTTGGTAATGATCCAAGAATGGCTTTGCCAGGGGTATGTTTTTCCCCAATAGCGATAGCTTGGGGTTGTACACTCTTTAGGCGGCTGGGTGCCGATGTTTCGGCGGTGTCTCGGTCATGGTTAGGTGGCGTCTTGGTCATGTTTACGTGTGGTCTCGGTGATGTTTATGTGAAGTCTATGTCATGAGGTGGTGTCTCAGTGATGTTTCTGTGGTCTCTCGTTTATGTTTAGGTGGTGTCTTGGCCATGTTTTAGGCGGTCTCGGTGATGTTTAGGTGGAGTCTCGGTCATGAGGCGGTGTTTCGGTGATGTTTTGTGGTGTCTCGGTCAAGTTTGGGTGAGGTCTTGGTCATGTTTACGTGGTCTCTCAGTCATGTTTTGGTGGTGTCTCTGTGATGTTTAGGAGTCTCGGTCATGAGGTGGTGTCTTGGTGATGTTAGGCAGTGTTTCTGTCATGTTCGGTATGTCGTTTATGTTTCGGTGTCTCGCTCGTGTTTGGGCGTTGTGCCGGTTTTGTTTTCGTGGCGTTTTGTGTTCTATTTTGCTGTTTTGGTGGTGTGCCGGTTTTGTGGCGAAGGTTCGCAGATATTTTTGGTTGTGTCTCGCTTGTGTTGTGGTTGTGTCTCGGTCTCAATCTTGGTGCGTGTATGAACTGAGCGCTTGCGTGTACATACACCTGGTGCACATTGCGTGCTGGCGCTTAAGCATCGGTTCGCGCCTAGTGTATAGAATATGCGTCGACATGCAAAAAAATGTTTCGCTTAAGACTTAAGAGGAACATCTTTTGTTTTGGTATCGTAAAAATCTTAGCTAGCTAGTAATTGCGCGCTGCATTCAGGGCACTTTTTGCGTAGAAAGAAATTGTGCGTTTGTCCTTCAATACATTTTCCTCTTCCTTTGGTGACAATCATAGGTTCCTGTCGTCTGTCTGAACTTAGATCCTCTTTATTCTCTGTCTGAGAAGGGATTGTGCCCTTAGATATTAAAACGCCTTTCTTCCTTGGTGCGAATCTTTTGTTGTTGTAATGTATTGAATAAGTTCTTCAGATGTATGGACTTTGCACAGGCGCTCGAATAAACAATTCGACCATCGGGCTTGGGTACTGGACTTGTTTTTAACTTTGTGCAAAAATTGCATTTCAAACATGTTTTGTTGTTGGTCGAAAATTGTTTTCGAGGTGTGCAAATCTGCTTGCTTAACACTGCGTTTCTTGCATCGTTCGTGTACATCCACTGCTTGGATGTCGTTTTTCTGTTTACTCTTGATAAGCGTCCTCTTTGCTTGTCAGTACTTTGTAAAAACAATGCACGCGCATGTCCAAAACTGTACCTTCCCTGTTGCCAAATCTTGAAGTATGGTCCCTCTGACAACTGCATTCATTGTATGTTTCGTGTATGAAATATGCGTTTGTCTTCAACTGAACTTTCTGTCTGGTTTGGTGATAATATCTTCTTATCTTCTATATAGTCTTGATTCCTCTCATTATCTGTCAGAATTGACTTTGCGCGCATATGCGAAAAAATACACACACACACACCTCTCTTTGGTGCGAATCTTTTTGTCGTGCTGTAATGTGCTGTAAAGAATTCGTTCTTCAGACGTATGCACCATGTGCAGACACTTGAGCACTTGAACACACAATTCGGCAATCGGCAAACATTCCTCAAGTGCTTCGTGGTTTTTGGACGATAAATTTAGTTTGGATGTTGTAGCTATTGGAGTGTATTTTCTTTTATTCCCCAGATAGCGAAGCTATGGGGTTCTTACTTCAAATAACGATGAGTTGCCCGTGCGCGCTTTCGAGACAGGTTGCTGGTGTTGGTGCTGTGAGCTTGCACGTGGTGAAGACAGGTTGCTGGTGCTGGTGCCCGGTGCCGGTGCTGGTGCCGGTGCTGTGAGCTGGCTGTGCACGTGGTGGAGACAGGTTGCTGGTGCTGGTGCTGGGTGCCGGTGCTGTGAGCTGGCTGTGCACGTGGTGGAGACAGGTTGCTGGTGCTGGTGCCCGTGCTGGTGCTGGGTGCTGGGTGCCGGTGCTGGTGCTGTGAGCTGGCTGTGCATGTGGTGGAGACAGGTTGCTGGTGCTGGTGCCGGGTGCCGGTGCCGGTGCTGTGAGCTGGCTGTGCGCGTGGTGGAGACAGGTTGCTGGCGCTGGTGCTGGGTGCCAGTGCTGGTGCTGTGAGCTGGCTGTGCGCGTGGTGGAGACAGGTTGGTGGCGCTGGTGCCGGGTGCCGGTGCTGGGTGCCGGGTGCTGGTGCTGGTGCTGTGAGCCGGTGCTGGTGCTGTGGGCTGGCTGTGCACGTGGTGGAGACAGGTTGCTGGTGCTGGTGCTGGTGCCGGTGCTGTGAGCTGGCTGTGCGGGTGGTGGAGACAGGTTGCTGGTGCCCGTGCCCGTGCTGGTGCTGGGTGCTGGGTGCCGGTGCTGGTGCTGTGGGCTGGCTGTGCACGTGGTGGAGACAGGTTGCTGGTGCTGGTGCTGTGAGCTGGCTGTGCCGGATGGCGGTGCCGGTGCTGGACGTGGTGGAGACAGGTTGGTTGCTGGTGCTGGTGCCGGGTGCCCGTGCTGGTGCTGGTGCTGGGTGCTGGGTGCCGGTGCTGGTGCTGTAAGCTGGCTGTGCAGGCTGCGTACATCTTGTTCCAGCCAGTCGCATGTCAACAGGTCGTTGGATTCTGCCTAGCTATCTGGGTCTATGCTGGTGTATTTTTTTTAACAAATTCTCCTCGATAATCGAAGAGTGAAAGAACGATGCAACCAACAACGCAGAAAGAATGCGCCAGATCTTGGTGGATGCTTTGCTATTGGGGTTGTCAGCTGGGTTAATTTGGTGTATTTTCTGTGTCGGGCGAAATGGAGACGATGATGACTCAGCTCAGAAATAGAAGATTGAAACTAATTGAACTCCACAAGGAATTTTCGAAACAGGTGTCAGTGGAGATGGTTTCTTGATGGAACGATGAACTGTACGTGTAGGAAGCCTTGACCAACGTCGTACGTCGTCTCTAGGGAAGCTATGGGGTTCTTACTTCAAATAACAATGAGTTGCCCGTGCGCGCTTTCGAGACAGGTTGCTGGTGCTGGTGCTGTGAGCTGGCTGTGCACGTGGTGGAGACAGGTTGCTGGTGCTGGTGCTGGGTGCTGGGTGCTGGTGCCGGTGCTGGTGCTGGTGCTGTGAGCTGGCTGTGCACGTGGTGGAGACAGGTTGCTGGTGCTGGTGCCGGGTGCCGGTGCTGGTGCTGGTGCTGCGTGCCGGTGCTGGTGCTGTGAGCGCTGGGTGCCGGGTGCCGGTGCTGGTGCTGGTGCTGTGAGCTGGCTGTGCACGTGGTGGAGACAGGTTGCTGGTGCTGGTGCCGGGTGCCGGCGCTGGTGCTGGTGCTGCGTGCCGGTGCTGGTGCTGTGAGCTGGCTGTGCACGTGGTGGAGGCAGGGTTCCGGTGCTGGTGCTCGGTGCTGGCTGTGCGCGTGGTGGCGGTGCCGGGTGCCGGTGCTGGGTGCTGAGTGCGCGCCTGGTGGAGAGGATGGTGCTGGGTGCCGGTGTTGTGGTCCTGGGTGCTGGTGCTGTGAGCTGTCTGAGCGTGCGTTTAAGATGGGCGGCGGCACTGGTCGGGTGCTGGCGCCGCTGCCGGTGTTGTCAGCTGGCAAAGCACACCGGTGTTGGTAGCTGATTGTGCGCGCTGTGGAGGTGCCGTAAGCTGGCTGTGCAGGCTGCGTACATTCTTGTTCCAGCCAGTCGCATGTCAACAGGTCGTGGGATCCTGCCTAGCTATCTGGGTCTATCCTGGTGTAATTTTTTAAAATGACTATGAGTATTTTGTTGTTTCTATTTTTGCCGAGGGTAGCGAGATCGGCCAATGATGAACCATGTCAGTCACGAGCCTCAATTCGAGAAGTGTCATACTCTTGACTCATACTGCCTAAACATAGTAACTAGATCCATTTGGCAATCTCCTTCCCCACTGTCGACTGGTTTTTTGTTTTGGATCTGACAGCTCTTTCAGCGGTTTTGTGTTTTGAGGGAACCTTTCACCTCTCACCTCTCACATCAATGATCGTTCCTCTCAAATGTCATCATTATCCAAGTCACTCAAAGGAATGGGGCCTGGACATGGGACACGCAAACCAAGAACCACACCTAGCTGGACCATGCTGTCTGGGTGTCCTCTCTGGAGTCAGATCTCCAATCAAGTAGTCTAGGGTAGTCGAGCAGCACCCAGATGGTTGGATGGTGGTGACGAATCCAGACTCCATGCCCCTTCCGAGGATCCAGGAGCAGTGTACGATCGCTGAAGGAGGATCCGGACAAAACCAGCGGCCAGGCGCGCCGGTCCCTCGTTTTTCACGGTCCGGACCGTCGGACAGCGGGAGATGGGAGATGGGAGAAACTGCGGTCTGGAACGCAGAAGGAAGAGATGGCAAAACCTAGCTCTGTTGGAAGTCCATCGTTAGGTGCTCCGTCGCAATGTTTTTGTGGGGTCCCCAGGCATCCAATCGGACGGACCGACCCGCCGACCCAACGGAGCTCGCCGAAGAAGGAGTGCGTCTTTCACGCCAGGAGACGAATCCGGAGATCGAGACGGCGAAAGCTCAGGCGGTCGGTCTCGACGGGTCGAAGGGTGACGAGTCCAGGTGGCGCGGGCGACGGGAGCAGGTTTCGACACGGATGTGTCGGATGTGATGTGATTTGCGAAAAACATGGAGTGTCTGGAATGATGATGTGAAAATGACCTGCAGGTCTCCCGACGGTCCTTTCCTATACTTGTAGGGTTTTTTTGTCCCCCTGCAAAGATGATGAAATCACTTCTGCAGCTTTGCTTCCATGGGGAAGCCTGAAGCCTGAGTCCCAGTGGATCCATGTGACTTCGGGAAATCTGGGTCTTCTAGTCTTTGACCTGTGGGATGATCTGCTTTGTGGGTCTCACAGCTCCACAGCGACCACTGAGCAGAACGGCAGAACGGCAGAACCCTGCATGTTCGAGCTTTGAGTCCCGACCTTTGGAACGTCAAATCGTTTGAACTAACGACCGGCTCGAGGTCGAGGACCGGGTCGAGACCAGCGAAGAAGCGCCGTTGATACCCTGGCCCAGCTCAGAAGAAGTCGACCTCCAGAGGGAACCCATTTAGTGAATCGGATCACCGATCGGATAACATTTGTTTAAACTAATGGGAGAATCATACTATTTGAATCAGAGATTTTGAATCATTTGAACAAATAACTTCGCTGCCACCATGAGATAAATACCACAATCTAGGAGTCAAGCGGGCGGTGACTCCGTGGCTACCCGTCAGACACTGATGGAGGGATTAGACTCTGGATGACGTCCGCGCCGGATCTCGAGCTGTCCGCCGGAGATGTCGCTCGAGGCCTTGGAAAAGTTGATGAAACTGAAAGAGATCGAGTCCAAAGAGAACCGCTCCAAGCACCTTGACAATGATCTGCAGACGGAGCCACAGAGGCTTCACAGTTCACCAGGTTCGATCCAGTGATCACTTACTTAATGCTTGCCAGCGCTGGTCACCTGGTTCAGTTCTAAGAATATCCAGGATTCTTGGCACCTCTCATCCGTCGCGTCGCCGGCTCGGTGGAACGTGGGGGTCCTGAAAATCACGTCACCCGTCCAGGGTTCCTGCCACAGCCTTTCTCCCCGATGTTTTCGTCCCTCTTCTGACTCGCTCCACAACTCTGCCGGGGCCGCCCACAAAAAGCCCTTGCCGGAACGGAATGCCGGGGAGTGAGGGAATTCCGGGCCTTGCTGCGGAAGTGGCATCCGGACAAGAACCCTGAGCAGCAAGAGGTGCGGACCAGCGTTTTCGTTGGCGCGGAGAACCGAGTGGGAGCGAGAGAAGACAAAAACAACTGCAATTGGAGGGCTGAGAGGGGAGTTACCCGTTCACCAGTTGTGTTTGTTACAGTATGTTCTTTTCAGAAGGGTCATGTTGCATGGTAGCGGTGGCATGTTTTTTGGGTTCCGGAGGAGTGTGGCCGCCAGCGTGTCGGGGGATATCGTAGTGCTCCCCAAGCTTGGGGAGCATCAAATGTAAAAGGAGCAGAGATCTGCTTCAAAACAACCCTTCATGCAAAAGTTCATGTAAAAGATGCGCTGTCTCTAACATAAAACCGCTTCTATTTTCAATATTATAACGATTTGGAGATTTGGTTCCACTCCAAGCATCCGAATGAAGGCCTTTTTTTTTTGGGGATAGCAAGGCAAACCAGAAGTGTTTTTAAAAGCTCTATTGTCCTCTATTGTCTAATCCATTGTTATTTGACCTCTGACTTCTCAGGCTCTATCTTTCCTTGTGAGCACTTGCATACAAAAAGATACAAAAAGACCTGTGCTCTGGGCAGCTTTCACGGGCAGGTTGTTTCCACGTTTTTCAGGTGTCTAGTTTGCATGTTGATTTCTCTTCTTGATTAAATATGGTGATGGGGCATGTAGACGTACAATGGACAGAACCCTACACCTGCAGGATTAGAATGGATTAGACCTGCAACTCCCGAAGTAAACCTGAGACAAATGTCTTTTGAGTGTGACAAAACCACCCACTTTGAGAACTGGCGGTCTTTCAACCAGACCTTAGTGGACCGGAAGTGAAGCACTACCTGGGAGGTGGTCAACCGTAGCGGTGAAAACGGGCGCCATGACCGTGCCATGACCCATCCAAATGAGTTCCGTCACCCCAGCTGGTGCAAACGTGTATTTTTCGGTCGCCGATGGTATTCTGGCGGTAGTGGGATGATGTGGTCAAGGTGGTCGAGCTTTCACCCTCATCTCTCTCAAGCAAAAGAAGAATGACTGCAAAGTGGAAGGCCCCAAGACATGTTTCTGATCGAAGATCCAAGATCCATACTCATGGACCAATGTCATGGGAGGGAAGGTGGTGAATTTCCCACCCTGAAAGATGTAGAGGTGAGGTAGACTCAGTTTGCACAGGTGGCCACTGCGGTCTTCCAATTCCTGCAGAAAGGCGGGCCATGCAGTCCGGTGTAGAAATGCGTTCACTTTTTGGTGTCAGGATACTACCTTAGGATTTTTAAGGAAGAACAATCTTCGTACATTTGATGCATACCCAGCTTGATGATCTACACGGTGCCCCTCTTCTTCTTAACTTCCTCTTCTCCTTCTTCTTCTTCTTTCTCCTGTTTTTGTGCATATCTATTTCAAACCGGATCAGACATAACTTGCGGTACTGTACTTACCAGTCACTGGGTTGCAGAAGAATCTTATTTGCGTCGCAAAAAATGCGTTTTGTCGGGTTATTTGCGTCTTCTTGTTCGTTTTGACCACTGATTCCATGGGCCCGCGGCCCGCGCGATTCCACGGTGACCCCGTTCACCGCGTTGCGATACGCCCCTCCGTCGGGAACATGCGAGCGCAGGAAAGCTTCTGATCGAGTCCTAAGGCACGCGAAAGGAGGTGCCGAAATGGGGGGCCCGACGAGTGCTGTGTGGTACGCTTAGGCCCAACGGGGCCCTCCGAGGGCCGCAAGGTCCATCAAGCTTCCGAGTTCGGCAATTCGACCCGACGAACAGAGTTGAGAAGACGTGCACCGTTATCTACCTTGTACCCGAAATTGTACGCCCAGAAGTGGTAGGTGCAGAGCCTGGTCCTGTCGCCATCCTGCCCAGGTTCTGGGAATGACCAGTGCGGTCCACAGGTGACTGCCGTGCATGTCTTGTCGCCCACGTGCAAGGTCATGTCTAGGGCCACGAGCGCCGAGAACCAGGACACGCTGTCCAATGTGTGTGTTGGTTCGATTCCAAAGACAGGAGAAATTGTATCGCCTACTTCTCACGAAACATCATCTTCCAAGGTGGGCTGTTGTCTTTTTGGGGCAGAGAACTGGGATAGCTTGAGAACTAGCCCTGGCGAGCTTGGAGCGTGTGGCGACGAGATACGTCGATCGGAGGGTGCTCACTGATGTCAACCCAGCATGACATAAGGACTAGTAGTAATGCCAGGAGCTACTAGTAGCGTCCTTGCAGCTAGTAGCTTCTTGCTCCTAGTAGCGATGGCCTCCAACCTACTTGCGATGGCTTCCACCTAATAGCGTCTTTGCTACCAGTAGCTTTTTGCTCCTAGTAGCGATGGCCTCCAACCTACTTGCGATGGCATGCACCTAATAGCGTCCTTGCTACTAGTAGCTTCTTGCTGCTTGTGAACCCAACTTTGGGATTTTGGTGTTTGTCTATTGAACCCAACATGGAACATCATAAAACCACCACGACCACCGATTCATCGCCTTGTTTCGGGCGACATCACAATCCGGTCGAGATAGACTCAGAGCGGAGTGAGCGCGGAGTGAGCGAAAAGCGGGGCCCCGCGTTGTTTTCGGTCGCTTCCAGACGGGATCTGATCGGCGGTGATCCGGAGTCCGCGACGCCAGCGGTTGGAGGTTTGTGCGTGATGCATGCGACGCGGTTGGGGGTCGCCGTGTGTTCAGACGCCTTGGCAATGTGGCAATGTGTTCAGACATGTTCAGACGGAAGATGTCAGGGACATGTCGAAGCCCAACCCATCTTGTTCACAACCCAGCGCAGCCTTCCTCAATCTTTCTCAGACTCCGTGCCGAGTCGCCGGATCCAGTGTCGTTGGCACCCAAACTGATTGATCCGTGGTTCATCATGTGTCCACACGTCAAGTTCTGAGAGGCTACTGTTTTATCCGTTGGTCATGGGTCATTGGTCGTCACCTTTTTCTCACAACTCCTTTGACGGCTCCGCTTTCTTTCCCGTTTTCATGGGTGTTTTCTTCTCATCCGCTTAGGGCTCTCCATTCGGCGAAGTTCGCTGGGCCGTTTGTTGGATGCTTTCTCCTTTCACTCACAGCCGCGTGTCGGCCGTGAGTGACCCATGTGGAGTGAGTCACCAAGCTGATGGAAGACTGCATCATTTGAGATTGGTGAAGCACCTGGAAGAAGGGAGGTTGTCTCAGCATGTATTGGGGAATCTCCAACTGTTGAAGTGTTACATTCAGGGTATGATGCGCCTGAAACAGTGAAAGCCTGCATGCTGGCGGGGGAGAGAAATAGAGAGAGAGAGAGAGGGAACCACCTGCATGCTGGTAGAGAATGAACTGCAGGGTGGTTTGTATTCGGAGAGTTTCGGGTTCGTATACGTAGTAGTCACAACGCTCTGGCAGCGACCTGTTCTCAGTCGCCAACGTCATGTGCTGTGCCGAACAGGTCACAAAGAACTTGTGGTCTCCCATCTCGCCGTGGGATTCTTTGCCTCCAGCCATTAGGCAGGTGCCCTTGTGAAGGATCCACGAGTATCCCACTATGTCAGGCACAATGGTCAGTGCTTCAAAGCATACCGCCTAGAAGATTGAAGTACATGGCCTAAAGCTTAGCTTCTAACCTAAGCTGCTTGCGAGTGTTGCAAGGCACGAAAGCAACACACATACAGTGACTCAAGTGACTCAAGTGACGAGCTCAGCACCACCCGGCACATGCGAGCTCGTCCTCACGGGCCCGGTGAGGGCGGTCTCCAATGGCCCAGGCAGTGGGGCGGGGCCCGGGCTTCGAGTGGTTAGGGCAGGGGTGGCCGGTTGGAAGCTTCGGTTCTTGTAGGGGAAAAAAAGGAACCTTTCAGACTTTCAGGTATAGTTATTTGTGTATACATTTCCTGAATGGAGTCGAACACATAAAGATCATAAAGCCATCCCAGATTTCTTCATCAGGGCTACCGTCACTGTGCAGTTTTCAAGGGTTCTGGCACTGGTACTTGGGTATTTATTCGGGAGGCACAATGGGTTGGTAGAGTGTCAACACTTCCAACCGTCCCTTCAGCGGGACATACCAAGACCAAAACACCGGTACCAGTGGGTAGATGGCACGACCCGAGAGACGGGATCCACAAAAACGACCCACAAAAACCTGCACTTGATGCATTTAGAGTAGATCCACCTTGGATGTTGTGTTATCTGAACCGGTACCTGTTTGCAAAAGACAGAGGACTTCGGTAGTCCTCCAATGCAGAATCCACTTGTGCGCTTTGTTGCCTGGTCCCCAGCCCTTGATCAAGCGATTGGGTAGGTGCCAAAGACCTGTTTCTGTAGCCCCCTTTACACCTGCCTCTTGCCTAATTAAGGTTCAGAATAGATGCTACATGCCCTGGGAAGGTGGTGTTCCTATGTGTTCCATGTCTAGCAGACTCCTAGACCATGTACCAACATCGCCTCTTGCTTAAATCAGACCCCGGCGGCTTCGCAGTCCCACTCCGCAGGTGTTCGGGCCCTTTTCCCAGTTCGGACCCCTCCAGGTGTCGGCCCAGAAGTCTGGTTCAACATGGTCCAGAGTGGACCCATTCTCTCGAGAGTCGTCCGAGTCGTTTTTCGGAAGGGAGTGGAAGAAAAACCATGTCTGGAGTGGAGTGAAGGAAGTTTAGATGTGTTTGCGGAAGGGAAACATTCCCTTCGTTCAGTCATGTTCATTCCCTTCCACGATGTCCGTTGCCTCCAGAAGTCTGACCGTTTCATCTGTCAACCGGTGAGAAAAAACGTTTCATTCTCCTTAGACAAGTCCCTTACCTGAAGACATGTCACCGGTCGCAAACACCGTTTTCTGACCAGACACCGGTCGAAGACCCCGGTCGAAACACCGAGAAACACCTCGCCGGTTCATGGCGGACTTGCTGACTTGACCGCCCATGGTCTGAGGCTCACAGCTTGGCATTATGAGCCATGTCAAAAACTCGGAGGGCCGCGTTTTTTCACCAGAAATTCAACAGTTTATGCCATGTTCAACGCCATGAAACACCTCAAAGGCGCAACGTACCAGTGACCGAAACTGGTCTTTCCACGTCGATTTGGAACCGCACCGCAGCTGCCGACGTTTGGAACAGCCCGGATTTCATCGAGTTTTGACGAAGGCTCTAGTAGAAGGCTTACCGGTGGCGATGTCAACCGGAACTGCACCTTGGCGGGTCGGTGGGAGTGCACCAGCCGGCGGGTAGGGGGAATCCGGGCCGCAAGCAGCTCAATTAGTCTTTCTGGACTGGGTGAACGAATGTGAATGCAATGAGAAGATTCAGACAGATACTCGGTAGGCAAAGCAGTGGACACGCACTTTTACTGCAAATACTGCTGCTGGATGGGTGAGAGAACATGAATCGATTTTCCTGGTTGAATTACTTACATAGTGAACGCATCACGCATTGCCCTCTATTTTTCAAGGGGATCCATCGTTTCTGTAGATTCATAATGATTCATCCAACCTGCTAGTCCAACTGGAATCCATGAGGTTTGTACCTGAATCGGTCTTTCAAAGTGGATTGTTTCGACAAATCAGTAGGCCAGGCCGCACCCTACTGACTTGAAAAGGGAATTCGTGGTAGACATCCAGCACCCACAGGTTGTAGTCAGTTGTTGCGAAATCCGTAGATATGTAGCAGATTGTAGCAGTATGACCAGAGGTTCAAGTTAACAGTCAGCCCGAGTTCAAGTTCCATGAAGTTTGTTCTGTTAAAGCTTTGCTTCTTCTTATATACTGTATATATATATATATACTCTTTGACTGGTGCTTGATCCGAACGAACACCCACGGGCCCAACCACCCAGGGTCCCCTGTTCTCTCCCACCCAGGCGATGGAGTTTGGGCAGTTGGAGCCGAACGCCACGACGTTGGTGCTTCGCAGTGCAAAGCACCCTGGCGGAAAGCAGTTGGAACTTCCGACCCAATGGAATTGACGTACATGTTTTAATCATATTGGCATATACAGTTGGGAGTATATATATATATATAAAACCAATATATATATATATATGTATATATAATATATATATATATCTAAATTGAATCATATATGCTGTACATAATTTGGATTAAGACGTGTTCGATTTGTGTTGGGGCTTTGGCTGCCATGAGCTCGGTGATTTGTCGCAAAGAAAGAAGGTTGCTGCTTAATCCTTGGCAAAGGGCCATCACTAGTAGCAAGAAGCCACTAGGAGCAAAGGGCATCGCTACTAGGAGCAAGGACGCTACTAGGGGCTCCTGGCCTTACTACTAGTAACAAGAAGCTACCTGGAACAAAGGGCATCGCTACGAACGGAGCAAGGACGCTACTAGGAACAATGGTCATCACTTGGTCAGCTGGCGTCGCGCGGCGGGTGCTTTGGTTCAGGTCGCAACTGTGCAGGGTTGTGTGGAGTCAACATGTGGGACGGTTCAGCTGGGACTTTGGTACAGCTAACAACAACATATACTATACATATATATATATATATATTAGGCAGTAATTACATACAATTATACACTACATCTCTCTATATGGGGGTGTATGGCAGTCGTTCCAAAATCAGACGGAATGTTGCATCATCGGAACGTGTTCCCTTCACATGCGACCTGGCAGGTGAAACTCTGTGGCCCAAAAAGGATGTTTTGTCATATGGGTGCGTTTTAAAATAGGGAGACTTCCCCAAGACCCTCTGGAATAAGGTAAATAGAGGGTTGGAGGTTCTCCCAAGTAAACTACACACCCAGGTTCTCCCCAAACTCCACCAGGCTTCGGTCGCCAATCCCTTTTCTTCGGTCGGAACCCTAGGAAGCTAACCTTCCGGCAGATGCTCAACGTGTGGCCTGGGCGGAACGGCATGTTCGGCGAACAAGTCTGGGGGGGAACCGCCGCGTGGTTCGGACCCCGAAGGAGCGGTTGGTCTGAGGGACTTCCCGTTGAACATTCAGTCGGTCTGAGGGTCCGAAGGAGAACC